CCTGCACACGCGTATTCCTGTTGGTGGTGTATGTGGAAGCTCTGCACACAAATGCCCTTCCAGGATCCGGGTGTATCCCAAATCCCCCAGGCAGCAGGGTGCATGGCCACTCTGCAGCTCGTGTCCTCTCTTGCTGAGGTGCATGGCTCCACACGAAACAACACCCTATGGTGTGAGGACACGGCGCTCCACGCTCACAGTGCCAGGTTACACAGCTGCCCTGCACCCCTGCCCCGCATCCATGTTTCCCCCAGCGTCGGGGTGCATGGCTGCACACGCCAGCATCTGCCTGCCTTTGTGATGCACAGCTGCACATGGACCCCAGGGTGTGTGCAGCCCTTGGGTGTCAGGACACGTGTATTCATGCTTCCCGTAGGAGCTGGGATGTGTGTGTGCTTGCATACAAGCCCCAGGTGTCCCGGCATGCACACAGACACATCCATCAAGTTTTGGGGTGCAGACGTTTGCATGGTCACATATCTGATGTGTGAAGGGTCAGACACACCTCCTGGGTGGCTAGGGTGCACACATACACAGATCTCAGGGCACGGATGTGCATGCATGTTTCTTGGATATCAGAAGCGGATACATCTGCTCTTTGGGGTTTGGAGACACAGGTGCAGCCAGACTGGCATGGATCTACACGCTTTTTTTTCTCCCTTTCTTTGAAACAGGGAAAGCTGCTGTCTCAGGCCTCAGAATGGGCAGCAGCCCCTGTGCAAGACTAAAGGCATCACTGCAAGCAGCTCTTTAAAACAGGAATGGGGAGAGTTGTGGAGAGTATATGTTGTGAGATTTTATGTGCATGGTTATTAGGTGGGGTTTACCCCCTGTCGTCTGGGACAGCTTGTGTTCCTGTGGCACCTGATGTAGATGTGACAACACAACTGCAGTCACCTGTGTCTCTCCTCCTCCAGCTGAGATCGGAGATAAGTGCACTCCAGGCAGATAGATGTATGCACTCTCTTCTAGCAACAACCTTATCATGGAATGCCTTTTTACATGCTCGTAGCAGGGAATAGCTGCTTAGCTTTCAGCACAGTAATGTGTTTGTGTGTTTGCCTAGGGCCAAAGAAGGGACTGATTTCAATAAATATATCAATAAGGTATTTGCCAATTGCTTCTTAACATTGAAGGTCATCTCAGCTGTAGTTGTTCTCGTTGTTATTGTTTCCCTGCTATGAACTACTCTTCCTTTCCTCTGTCCTGCTTCCACGGGGTGAACCAGTTAATTATGTTATTTTCAGACAGGGGGACTAAAAGGTTGGTTGTTGAAAAACACAGCTAGTGTGAACTGCTTTTGTGTAATAGGGAAAGGCATGTTCGTGAAGATACTTTTCCCAGAGAAAGCTGAGATTTTCTTTAAAAAATGAATTATTGTCACAGACTTTTGCTATCTGGAAGGCAGCTTTATAGCTGAAGACTGATGGCTCTTTTCTGCACCTCCTAGGCAGTAATTAAGGGTGAAAAGTTGACTTTTGAGGCAGGAAAAGGTTTAAATTTCTAGCTGTAGTGCCCCATTTTTAGTATGTCAGATATTTCAGTATTTCAGCAGAAACCCTATGTCAAAAAGAGGCAAATTGGAAGTGCTTCTTATGAGAAAGAAGAAAAAACATTGGAGCTTGGGATTCCCTGTTACACATTCTAGAGAATCCATTAAATACATCTGCTCTCTTGTTCTTCTGTGCAGGTTTTTGTGATTGAGGTGTCTTCTGTCAGCTGGAAAATAGAAGTATAATTAATTTAACATAATTTTTAAAAAGCTCAGTTATCAATTGTGAAGTTGTGTGTACTCTGCAGTGTAAAGGGAAGTGGTATTATTTTGGAAGTGTACTTGCAGAAACTGCATAAAGACTAGATTAAAAAAGACAGTGAAATTCTGCTGTTTCAAAGAAAGGGAAGTTGTGAGTGTTGTACAAAGAATGTGGATCTGTACCCCTGCAAAGTACAGTTGCCAGAATTTGGAATTGAAATATTTGCAGGCTTTTTGTTTCCTGCCACTCGTAATTTTTCACAAATTAGACTTTCATTATTTTTTTTTCTCTTGAAAGATGTGCTATCTAACTTTTCCTTTTTTAGAGCTATGTTTAAGCAACATAGGAGCATATGGTAGTTACTCTCCTGTTCACACTGTACACATTTTTCCTTATGCACACTGTCTTTTTGCTCTTTTTCACTCATGTCTGTGTACATCAGGACAGACCCAAGCTTCTTGAGCAAAGACACTTGATGAAAAAGAATATAAATAGGCAGCAAAAGCAGCCAGCCAGCCATTACCTGCCATGTGCAGAAAAAATAAAAGTGGACAGGGCATGGTTGACTGCTGTGTATCTAGTAAAATGGTTTGTGAGAAGGTAAATCTCAGTGAGGAAGGAATTCCCTTTTCCTTGCTAGGAAGGGGCTCAGTGGAAAGTTTTTGTAACAGTCGTGTATGTTAACTGTGTGTTGTGATACTGTTTGCATTAAACTTGATTGTGCCAGTCTTCCCTGTGTTGTGGGCATTTCCAAGACACGCTCAGTGACAGTATAATGTACTTGTTAATATGTAGGGGGCTGGTATCTTCAGCTAGCAGACCTCGTGAAGACAGTTGGTTAAAATCGCTATTTGTTCGCAAAGTCGATCCAAGGAAAGATGCTCACTCCAACCTTCTAGCCAAAAGAGAGACCAGCAGTCTGTATAAACTACAGAGTGAGTGATATTTTTATATTTAACTTTACCAGTTCCTTATTCTGTTTCTGCATTTCTCACGTAATGTTGTTGTTTCAGTTCACAATGTAAAACCAGAATGTCTAGACGCCTACAACAAGCTTTGGTAAGTGTGCGTATTATGTTTTCACATTTTAGACATCTTGATTTGATCACAAGCTGTTCTCAAAATTGGCAAATATCATTATTTAGAGGGGAGGTGGAAAAATTCCGCTTTTATTTTTTGGGTACAGTGTTAAATAGATCCTATTGTTACTGGAGAGAGATGGCGAAAGATACTTTACTCAGTTCAGCCCCTGCCTTCCCTCTTGGAGGTGTCGGTTTCCTAAGCTGCAATTTAGGATGATGCTTTTTGTGAAAACATGAGTGATGTTTGTTGGAACAGCTCTCCCCCTTCCCTTAGCTGTCTTACAATTGCTGGTCAACGTGGGTAGATGCTGGTATTCTAGCATGTCCCACTCCAGCTGCCGTGTAGGAATTTGTTGAGGGTGGTTATTGTCTGCATACAGGAAGGAAAGGGAGAGATCACTGGTAAGTAAAACTATATGCCAGTATTAATGTTAAGTATAACTTCGAGGACATTTTAAAAACCCAGGCATTGACTTTCTCTTCCTTCTACAAAAGTGGTGTTACTGAGATTTGCTCTCAAAGAGCTGTGCAAACCCTTGGATCTTTGCATTGGGGTGATATCCTACAAAGGGAGCAGTACTGTTAGGGATTTTCCAAAATGTTGTAGCTTTATAAAAATGTATGAATAGTAACATTTTAAATTTACTAATTTAAGGATGAAATTGCAGAAATATTAGTCCTATTCTGCCTACATAATCACTCCTCTGGAGCCAGAACAACTGCCCTTTCAAGAACTGAATGTTTAAAGTTGGAAATGTAGTGACCCTCACATGTTTCAAAGCAGCAGTGCTTCCTCACTGGCAGTGATCAATGTTGTCAGTTAAATGAAACATTCCTAGCATAACGATACCCTGCTGCAATCAGTTTTTTAAGTGTGGTGTATTGGTGAGAATAGCAGCTGGGCTGGAGAGTGGGGAAGAAGTTCACAACTCCCAGCTCATGTCCTCGAGTGTTACTGGTTTGCTGTACATCTAACATCTCTCTGCCTTCATGTGTTCAGCTTTGAAATGGGGCTAGATAATTCAGAGCTGTTTTCCTTGCTATGCAAACATATAAATCCACTAGAATAACATTCAGTCATAAGGTATTTTTAGCTTTTTTGTTTAAAAAAAAATATATATACACAGAGAAGCACAGTTAGCATTCAGGCAGCTTGCTGTTTAAAAGCTTAATATAAACATGTCCGATTATACAAGACAGGGAACCACTTCTCTCTGTTACCTCAGGAGCTACCTAAATGTCAAGTGAAAGGAGAGGCTTTTTTTTCTTTTTTTTTTTCTCTTCCCAAGGAAAGAGACAATAGTAAAGAAAGTTCTGACAGCAGTCGGATTAAGTATGTGTGGTTAGGTTTACTTTTTCCAAACCAAAGCAAGTCTATTCCAGGGAAGGAGAAAACTTAAGAATGGAGTAATAAAAAAAACCTAAGCCCCTCTGAACTTCCCTCCTTCCTCTCCCTAAATTAAAGATGAATAGGTTAATTCCTTATGCTGTATCACATCAGAATAAGGATTAGTCATCATGTATTAATAAATAAATAATGTAATGAAGACAGTAAGGAGAGTACTTAATGAATCACTGTAGTTAATGACCCCTTCTGAAGAATTAGGAACAGTTATTTTTAAAAAGGAAAAAGATGGTGTTCATAAGGCATTCTGTGAGGTTTTTTTCTGTAATTTCCATCAAAAGATATTTTAGGGTTATTGTAAGAATAATTGAGCATTCTTATTTTAAGCTGCCTTTCTAGGATCTTATTATGCTTTGCAAAAATGAACTGATGGTGAAACATCCTTGAAAACATCCTTGGAGAGTCATTCTGTTGTATTATTTACACTATGTAGTGGGAAATCTTGAGGTAAAAATTGATAATGGGATTTGCTCAAGGTTGTCTAGAAAGTCAATGGCAGAATCGAGAGAAAAACTGATACCTAGTGACTCTCAGCCCAGGACTAGCCTACTTCCGATTATTTGGTATTGTGCAGAGACTCATTGCCTATGAGCCAAACTGAGTAAGAGGGGTAATTATTCAGGGAAAAATATTAAAAGGCAAAGTTCAACCAGACTAATTGACTTATTAATAATCAAAGTACAGCACAATTAAAGCTGTCTTAACTGAGTCAGCAATCGGTAAAACTAAATTCCTAGGGCTAATGTAGGCCACTTTTAAAGTTTGAAAAAATGTTAGAAATACTGGAGGTAGTCAAACAGCAATTTTGTGTTGGAGGTATTTTTAAGCCAGTTTCACTGTATGCTTGAATGGGTAAGTTGCCTCAAACTAAGACCACTTTGTGAAATGGTAGAAGGCAATAAGGCTGCATACTCTTAAGTACAGTCAACATTTAATCTATCAAAATACTTATTTTTATTCATTCAGCTCAACAGAATTAACAGCATTGTAACTGGTACAGAAGACTGTCCTTTCCTATTTTTGTATATTCTACCCACTTTGATAAAGAAAAGCTTTTCCTAAAGCAAATCACCCATATGGTTAGGCTGTATTTTCTGGGAGACACCCTGATACTTCCTTTCCTAATGTGTTGGATAACCTTTGAGGTGATAGACATGACTTATTGCATCGAAAGAATTCTACCATGCTGTATATTTGTATGACAGTCTGAGAAATTATAACACTTACCTTAATTTTTCATAGTGTTGTAGCTATCTTTCCCCTGTATAGCAGATTTTTGTATTTCAGCTTTCTCCTCTGAAAAGTAGAGCTTGTGAATTTTCATACCATAATGATAACCGTGTGGTGATTTGTTATACATCTCAACTGTAGCCTCCCTGAAGGAAATGCAACATAGTGTCTGTATTCCTTGTTTTCAAGTCAAGAGGTGCTGCCAAAGATTCATGAAGAAAAACACTACCCATGTGCACTGGTGGGGACTTGGAACACGTGGTACGGAGAGCAAGATCAGGCTGGTAGGAGATAGAAGTACAACAGAATGTAAAACCATACAAGCGAAACGTGTGTTTGGCAGGTTTCTTCTCTTTGAATCATCTCTGTTGACAGTAAACCTGTAGCAATGTATACAGCGAGGGTGTGTGTGCATCTATTATCAGTAGTCGTATTAACATTTACAGTGCTTGCTTTTTGTCTTGTTGAGTTTGACAGTAAAGCATTAATTCTTAAAATTTGTCCTATTGTTAATACACTTTTATGTTTTCCAGCAGTTTTGGGAAATGCTTGTAAAATGTGCTCCTGTAATACTTTACAGGCACAGATCATGTTTGTGAATATTTAGGGTAAAGGCAAAGGCTTACAAAGACAGAGTTTATCTTTCATTGGCCACTATAAAAGCTTTACTCAGACTTTTATTATCATTTCATATGACAATGAAATGCATGTCATTCACACCATCTGAAAAAAATGATTGCATTGTAAACTCAACAATAAGTTCGGCCTTTACTAGAGGAAAGTAAAAATTTCTGTTCATGGATACTGCCTAACTAGCAGATTCAAAACATATTGGAACTAGAAATTACTGAAGAGCTGCTGCAGAGGTAGCTACAAAGAGTCTAGTGTAGAGAGAAGACCTGAAAAATTTCCTGGGTTCTGAGAAATGGAAGGAATGGGAAGCCGTGAATACAATGGTATACTGATCTTTGTTGTGCAGTTTGTTACGTAGCTCCATTGTTAGACCTATGCTAGTATCAATGTCATTGCTTTGTTATTGAAAATTATACTCATATACACATTAATTTTTCCTGCATTCGCAGCATATTGCAATATTGACCTGAACAAATGCAAAGAAATAACAGTAGATAAACCAAACAATGTCTGAGAAACAATTCCAAAAGTTGAAGGGAAACTGGGGAATGAAGACAACTGAAATGAGAATATCTTAGCCAAGTCTCATTCATTGCTTTTTTAACTTGTTAACACAGACTGTATCTGTGATTGCATCTGTAGTCTGCCTTGAAAATATTATTGCAACAGTTCTAGCAACGTAATAAAGCAGATTATAGGGGTTTGGACTTGTTCAGTACTTGTGCCCGGGCTGTGTTAATATTAGCTGGATATATCAAATTTGCCCTGGGGATAAGACAGCAGAAGCAGGCGCACTGGATGAATCTGCTATCATAGCGAAATGCCTTAGATAGCCTCCAGTTCGCTCTCTTAGGAAAGGAAAGGACTGCATTTGAGGAGAGAAAATAGTGTTTGGGACTCTTTGAGGTGAAATATTGTTGCCTTGCTATATTAAGTTCTTGTAAATTAATCTTGTTATGATTTATTAAATTGATTTATTGTGATTTATTAAAGAGGGAATGCTTTGAAAAAACTCAAATGTAGATACCTGTTCTGAAATTGTTTTTATGGGGGAAATCCTAGCAAATTTAACAATTCTAGCATGTTCAGATATCTTCTGCTTTTTTAAATGCAATGTTTACCTCAAAAATAACATTTGCATCATTTTTCATGTCTACAGAAAGTGTGTTGCTCTTTGTGCTTGAGTAATTTCTGAACTAAAAAAATCTACCCCTCTACTGCACTCAGATGAAATTGGTATAAAACACGTTTTTGGAATTAAGTCATCCTCTTAAATTGAATCTCATTTTCAACTACAGTCAGGTAAAGTCATCACATCATACTAGCATGGCAACAAAAAGTCCTTTCAGAAATTTCCCTGTTATCCTCAGAGTAGATTGTAAATTTTCAAGAGAACCCCTTTCAAAAAGCAAATAATTTCATTATTCTTAGGATGATAAAATATGTAGTGCTTTCTTTAAAGGAAATCAATTTTTGACCTATTGCCTGACTTCTGTTTTTGTGTCATTCTCTAGTATGAGGAGCATTTTGTACTGTGATAATCCATAAGATTTAGTGCTAGTCTGTGGCATCCCTGAAGAAGCTTCCGTTTTTCTGTTTCAGTACATCTGTGGAGATATGAGGGAGGCTATCCAGCTCTCAATGAGGTCATGAATAAACTCCGTCAAAATAAGGTAAAATTCATTGATTTTGTTAGAATTGGTTATTTTACTCAAAGAATCGTCAGAGCAAAAAACTGCATGTTTGGATACCCACTTTTGCTTCAATATCTCATCGTTTCCTGTACAAACTTAGAAACTTCTTTGGAAAAGGGTTTATTCTCATATTCAGGAATACTGAGGTTTAATACCTGAATACTTCAATACACTTAGGGTTGTGTAACCATGCCAGTTCAAATTTTCAAATACGCCAGGGGAATTTAGATGCCTTTACAATGTAAAGGATTTCAATGTCCCAAAATGCCCAAGATAGCATTAAAAAAAAATTTAAGCCACCATATGGTATGCTGGCTTTTGTTGTTGAAACGTAGTACAAAGTTTGACCGTGATCACATTGTTTTTTAGGAATTCACAGAGTTTCGCAAAGAAAGAGGTAACATGCTTCTCTCGCGCAAGAACCAGTTATTGTTGGAGTTTAGTTTCTGGAATGAACCTGTTCCCAGGGAGGGGCCTAATATTTATGAACTGAGATCCTATCAACTTAGAGTAAGTTTAAATTTATCTTTTTATTTTTTAAGCTCTGTGCTGTTGTAAAATACTCAAAGCATGTTTATACAATGTAGATGGAAGACAGACCTCATCTTAAAAATCTGGTTCTTATCAAAGCTGATGTCTGAGTCACTGTTGCTCTCAAAGTGTGGGGTCCAACATGAAGGCAGGTTCTAACAAGATACTAATATCTGCAGGGCTGAAAACCCTGTGTTTTCATGTGAAGGAAACTTCAGGCATATGACTAAGAAGTAATACACTAAGTAAAGAGAGTAGTTACAGATGATTATAATATGCTTATCACTTGAAGGAAGTGATTTTGTTAATAAATTGTGTTTTCCATAGGTAAATGTTGTGAAAACTTTCCAAATATTCTAACTTTCTTTAAATTACAGTTTTAACAATCTGTTTTGTTTTTGTAGCCCGGAACAATGATTGAGTGGGGAAATTACTGGTAAGTGTTGCTTTGGCACTTGTGTTCTCCTGTTTTGAGAGTTGTATGTTTAAAAATCATGAAGTGGAGGTGGCAGAATGGTATCAAAGCATTTCAGTCATCCAGTTAATGGCCTGCTTCTGTAGTTACGCAGCTTGTAAGATCTTTGACCCTTAATTTATCCCTTGAGGAAAGAAAGATGAATTCTGTGTGCAGACAACATTGTGGGCTCTGTGGTTTGGCTTTCCTTCACATAACCCTTTTAGTTTGATGTAATAAAGCAGAAGCTATTTATTTTCAGCAGAAATCACTGCTCAGTGAAGGGTGGCGGTTAACGCCTTGAGACTGTTGATCTTTCACAACTTCCACAACACCACTAGAAGCTGACTGACTTTTAGTTTAAATGGCCTAAGTATTGGCTCTTTTAAATTCAAGTTACTTCTTGAAAAGCTGTTGAGCAGCACATTTGTATTTTAATATATAGGTTAAAAGCATTTGAGACAGTCTTCTCTGGAGTATATGCTTCTGATTTTGTCTTGCTTAAAACCAGTATGTGTTGCTTTCAATTTACTCTAATGGTTGATAGTTAAATAATTTGGAGTATCTTCAACTCATGTGACATATGTGAGGACTTGGATTGTTAGACGTGTCATTATCATCTATGTAATTCATTTAATTACAGTAATTTGAATAAAGTAAATTGAATTTAGAATTTTTATAAAATAGGCATATCTATAGTGGTAGCCAATCTCTTTTAGAAGATGCAACAGATTTGTAGTTAAGAGAGATACTGATCTTACTCACACACCAAATTGTGAAGTGTTGCATAGCACAGCTACATAGCTTTCCTTTGAATTATCACTTATTTCCTACCCAGATCTGCTGTTTTTAATGTCTGCTTTGCTCTTCTCTAGGGCTCGTGCAATTCGTTTCCGCCAGGATAATAATGAAGCAGTTGGAGGATTTTTCTCACAAATTGGACAGCTGTATATGGTTCATCACCTCTGGGGTAAATTTGTTTGTGCTCTCTGCTTTTTTTCTTGCTGAATCAGCCTCTAACAGACAGTGTACTTTGCCCAGAAGACAAGGTTTTTACAGAAGGCAAAGGAATGCCCTAAGAGGCTTTTTTTGTTTTACACCAGCAATGTTGATTTTCTTAACTTTTGTGTAGGTAACTATTTCTCAAACAAGCAAGGAGAAGTGAATATGTTTCCATCACCAGTTTCTCATGGCCCTTTCTTATTAGGGACTACTTGTTTGCTTTCAGTAACATAAGCATGACAAGCCATGTCCCACCATCTCCTTTCTCCATCCCCCTTCGTGCTGAAGTCAGGCTTTTACAGTTTAGTTTCAAGCATCACATATACCACACCTACAAAAAAGAAAGTCAAGCATTTATTTACGTTACTACATCACAATGGTTTTGCTTTCTCTGTGTGCTAGTCACTATAAATGCGTAGCTACTTTTCACGTTAGGATTGTTTCAACTTGAAAAAACTCACTGTCTAATATTTATTTTATAAAATAATGCAGCATTATCTTCATATCTCAACAATTCAGAATATTACATTCCAGCATTAGAAATCTGACACCACTCATGTAGAACTGTACTCTGTTCCATTATCTGTCTTACCTGTGTCTAAGACATTCTCTCTCTTCCCCAGTTCCTTCTGTTTGCGTTGGTTTGGGAGCTTTTCCTTTTTGTGGAGAAGAACTTCTGGCTTTTTTCCTTCCCAGTGTTTGCAGCCTCCTAAAGCACTAGAATACTTCTAAGGGAGCTATTAATGTATAGAAGGAAAAGGAGTTACTTCTAAGCTTTGTGCTTGTTCTTTTCCCTCACCAGCTTACAAAGATCTCCAAACCAGAGAAGATATAAGGAATGCTGCGTGGCATAAACCTGGCTGGGATGAGCTCGTCTATTACACAGGTAACCTATTAACTTCATTGGAATGCTGGAGGTGGACTTTGGTGCATGTCATCATTTTTGTTCTTCAGTACATTGCACAATGACAAAAAGTTTTCCATCTCTGGTGTGTGCGTGTGTCTGTGTGTCAGTTTTTCTACTGTGAGGGAAAGGAGGGACATTTCACTAAGCTGTCAGGTCAATTTTGCAATTGATTGTACAAATTTGGAAAAGTTGCCTAATTGCTAAAAAATTGCTACATTCTTAGTAAATTTTTATTCAAGCACCTCTCCTGTAGAACAGATTTGTGTAAATGCTTAAGTTTGTGTCCAAAAATTTAGGGAGCCAGTAGTGAAATTTATATTCATATTAAATTATTACCTCTAATATTTCATGAAATAAGGGAGCCTTCTTAAATGCATTCCTTTGAAAAGGGAATTTAGACTTTGGAACTAGAAGCAAGGAGATCTTCGAGATCAAAGATAGTTTTCATAACAAAACTCACAAAAGTATGCTAAGCATGTCAGATTTTGGTTCCATAGGGTGCATTTCAAAGGAAATATACCAGAAAAATGTAAGATAACTTTCATTTTGGTGAGAAGGAATACAAATAATTGTTTTCAAAGGAACAGACAGATTATATTTAAAAATCATTTGTTCTCAAAACTACTCTAGTTACAGGAATGTTGGTGGTTACTGGTGACTTGACATGCACTAGCTAGGAGAGTAATTTGAAGACAGTAATATCTGTTCTAATTGAGTGTGCAGAACTGCTAACGATCTGTGTTAGTGAAATTAAACCCTGTCTCAATTTTTTTCAGTGCCCCTTATTCAGGAAATGGAGTCCAGAATCATGATACCATTGAAGATTTCTCCGCTTCAGTAAAGTCACTGATGTACTTGTGCCTACATAGATAAAGTGACAAGTATTTGTCTTAAACTAATTTATGGTATACATTGTATATCATAGTCTGAAATATAAAAGTACTGTATTGAGCTTATAAAAGAGACCTCTTTTCTTTAGAATCTAACAGTCTTTTGCCCTAAGGATTGTACCAGTAAAAAAAGAAATGTAGGACCATAATTAAAAGGTTGGTTAATTTAAAACCAGTACAAAGACTTATAATGAGTTCCTCTGTGAGACAGCTCCTCAGGTTCAGTATGGAATACAGTATTTAATACCTTGTGCTACATAGACAATGCCCAGTGTTCAGTAACAGAAACAGAATGGAGTTTTAGAGGTGTTGTCGCCTTTGTGTAGGATTATAATGACTGCAGATTTTAAAAACAAGCGTGGGAGTTTTGACATTCAAAGCTCTGAAGCCCTAGCAGCTCTGAAATACACCTAGCTTTTCTAGCAGACCTGAAAACAGTAAGTACCTCTAAATTTACAAAGAGGCAGTCGCTAATTGAGGATGATACAGTTTGTCAGGCAATAGCTTATCGACAGAAAATAGGGCATTCTGTTTTGCAAGGACTCTGAAGCCTGTTGAAACTAATCGCACATTTGTGTAGATATCTACACCTGAAATTAATTTTGTGAAATATGACCTACGGTTTTCAAAGAGATAACTGACACAACATAGTTGTCTGAATATCCTGCAGGGAATCGAGTTCAGTTAAATACGTTTATCTCTACAAATAACTTGGAAGTCTAGGAAAAGGGGTTTAATTTAATAAGCAGTCATGACTTCAGACATATGCTTGGTCGGGTGTTTCACTAACTGTACAGTAGGTACCTATATGAATTGATGTGTGAAACTGCCGCATGTTGAGTCAATAGGATTGGCATAAAGCAGTGTACCATTATGTCCAGTTCTGTTTTGGTTTCACTTTTAGACTAGAATGTATCAACACTTTTGGTGTCTGCAGTGATGTGAACATCCTGTAAGTGAAAATAATATTTTCTTTTTAAAGTGGCTACAAGAATCAGTACCATACAGAATGTACAAATCACTTACTGAATGTCCTGTTTGTACATTTCAGTGAGTTTTCAGGAAGAACATAACGGTCAATAAAATCCTTTAAATTTTCACATTTTACTGGCACCTTATATGTATTGCACCACCTGTGTTTTCTGCCATCTTGCAGTGTGTATTATGGAAAATCTGAGTAACTGCATAGAATATTCCAGCTTGGCCAGTACCACTTCTCTGTGTCAGGGACAGCATTTCCCAGTAGTCTGCCCTCCTTCTCCAAACTGAATTCACAATATCTCCATTACATCCCATTTGGCTAAGTGTTCTAGAGGTCATAAGTGCTGTGGTGATAAATACAAAATTTTTCCTTTTTATTTTTCTTCACAAATGATGCTTACTTTTTCGCGTCTGATTTCTTCTTTTCTTCCCATGAGAAATACACTGCACTCTTGCCTTCGCTTGAATTTCATCTTGAACAAAGTCAATATTTGATCTGATTCTTGTCTGTTTTCATATTTTCCTCCTGTTGTCAAGTGATTATGGGATTTTACTGTGTAACATTTTGTATTATATTAGCTTAAAGCTGTCAGCTTGGCTTACCCAATGGGCCAAGTACGTAATTTCAGCTACTCCTTCTTGAAAATCAGTCACAAGCAGTACTGTCACCTGGGGCTGTCATTTTTTCCAGACTTTGGACTCTTTAGCTGCAAAAGGAAAAAAAGGATGACAGCATCAGCTTCCAGTCCTTGTTATTTCTCCCAGTAGCCTCCCATGTTTCTTATTTACATTTATAACAAACTTCTTATTGGAAGTTATAAGGAATTGTTCTTATAACTTACCCCTCATAACCAGCAATCTCAGTCAGAGACAACAGGCAAAAAGCATTTTTGGAGTTTTGTGAGTTCTGGTGCAATCCGTGTTTCTTACCTTCAGCCAGGAGCACTAGGAATTAAATTCAGTCAGGCAGAGCTCTTGTTCAAGGACCGTGAAGTTTTGCCTGAATAAGAAATCTGAGGAATAACTGGATGTTCTGCAGCATGACATTGTACGGTACGAGTCTCTTCAGTCTTTAAACGCTACGTAAGATCTGAATTCCCAATCGTGTTGTTGTAATGTATTATCAATGTGCCTTCTGTCGTTCTGAGCTACAGACTCGTGCTCTGGCTGTCATCACAGAGAGATTAGCTCCTGTTATTTTAGTTACAGATAACTGTGTAAACTCACTGAATATAACACAGCAGATAAATAAGTAATGCCAGTCTTTTCTTGCTTCCTTTTGCCTGAGCCCTTTCCAAAGTTGTTTCTCCCCTGTTGTGAGCACTGTTGTGATTTTTCCCTCTTAATTTCACAGCCAAGTCTGCCTTCTTCCTTTCACTAGCAATACTTTAGCATTTCTTAGAGCAGAATTTGTAGAGTTCAGAACTGAAGTCACTTTCCAGTGGTTAGAAAGTGGGGAACAATGCCTCGAAGGGTAATTATCAGTTCTTGTTCCACCATAATGAAGACACAATTAAAACTCAAGTTTAGTTGTCCTGTAGTCTTCCTAGAAAAGACTGCAAACTGTTCTTGTAAGAAAACTTACAGCAATTCTGCCTTGCTGAATAATTGCATTAAAGGCTTTATATGAAGCAGTGTGCCTCCCCACACTCTTGGCCAGGGACCCACCTGAAGACCAGATACTACTTGCCTGACATGTGCTACTCTGTAGACTTCACTCTACTGTGATCGGATATGTTCAGGTAAACTGGTAGCTTGGTTATAACATTGAAACTTCCCTCACGCTGCTTTATTCCCTCCTATTTTTTTCCAGTATTTTACAAACAAAAGAGCTTATCTTCTTGCTAAGCTGAGTAATCCTTTTGGTACCTCCTGGACTAGAGGTCAGGCTTGATATTTGCGCAGTGGAAGGGGGGGTGGTTTTTTTTTCCAAACTAGTCAAACCTAAAGAGCTCTTGTGAAAGCATTGGCACAATTCCATGTTTCCATAGCACTCAGACTGGCAGAAGATAGTGCTGTGAATGTTAACATCTCTGTGGCACAGAGCTTCCTGCACGGTCTTCTGACTGTGGCTTTAGTGAAATTACACTTGAAGTGAAGCATGTCGCAGTGTTTGTGGGATTGGGGCCTGATTAGCTGGATGTTAGGTTGGTTGGTTTTTTTTAGTAGCCTTTTAATTCAGTAGAAAACTGCAGTAAACAAACACTTCTGCTTCATAACTAGAATTGCAGAGGAACACAATGAGAGCAGAAGGAGTTTATACTTGTTCTACTCATGCAGCCTTGACTAAACAAAAGCATGATTGTGCATGAGCTGCCTTTGGAACTGGCTGAGATTTTTCCCAGGAAGAATTCAAAAGAGATCATGTTTAATACTCCCAGAAGACTTCTGGTGAGCAGCCTGCCAGCTATTGTCTGTCTCGGCTTTTGTGAAGTTTCTTAAACTCTGTATACAGGTATTCAGGATAGCTGGTTACATGTCTGCCTTCCTCTAAAAAGCTATCAAAAGTTTGTTTCTGGATTTGTTTTCTTTTAACCCTTCTACTTCTCTAGTATTTAAATGCTGTTGTAACTTCAAGCAATTATTGCCTCAGTTTTTTTCCAAGAACATTAGATGGCATCACTGAGACTTCCCATTCATCACTCTCTGGGGCTTTGTTAACGCCTCTTTCCCATATATAATTTCTGATGGTGTTACAAAATGGACAAAAAATCCAGAACGCAATTTTGCAAACAAATATATGTTTAATTGCATTGTATAATGGATTTATAGTTGTTAAATATATTATTTTACTGTATAATTTATCGTTCTTCCAGTTCCTTTAGCAGTTCATCAAAGTGGGTAATATACCATTTAGCTTTCTCCTTCACTTGCTTTCTGATTACATTTCCTCCAAATCCAATGAAGCAGTCCTGGCAAAACAGAAAGAATGGGCACATGTATCATTGCAGTCCCATGTAAGGAATGGAGCTTCTCAGCAACTAAGTTTGGTTTAAAGATTGGTTTTTAAAATTATGGTATTCTACCCCACCTCTTCCCCTATTTTACTTTGCAAGTTCATTTTTCAAATTTATTACCAAGAACTTGATTAACATTTAATTTTGGCACCACTTTGGTTAACAGAGTTTTGTTGCAATAGGAAAGTTGTGTCTCTGCCTCCTAACTTCAAGATTGTTCAGATCTGAGATTTTACTAAAAATCTGATGTAAATGTGATGCAACATAAAGCCTTACTATTCAAGAATGAGTTAACATCTGAAGGTGCATGCAGCATCTCACAATTATCCCTGTGCTGTTTATCTTAACTTCGTTTACCTCATTTGATAGAGACCAAAAGTAAACATTAACCATGTCTTCAATCATTAACCAGGAACACTCATCATTTCTACATCTTAGAAAACCATCTGCAGTGAAAGTGCAGTGTTCAAAATGTCCACTGCTGCTTTTTTTGCCTTTAGGTAGAAAACATTTAAGCTAATACTAAGCTGCTTTAGTTATGCACATATTTAACAGTAAGGGACCTGCTGTCATAACTGGCATCAGCAGTAGCTCTTGGGAGTTTGTTCTTGTGCGTTTCCATGCACTGAGATATCTGTCCCTCCGCATTGGCGAAGAAGGGGCATTGGGGTACTTTTATGTGGAAAAAGGAGCTAAAGGGGAGATGTCATTTCACAGAGGAGAGATCTTAATTCCCATTTATAAAAGCTGTCTTTGTATTCATTTTTTTTAATTATTTCACCCTGTCAGGGCTGCTCCCTTCCAAGGTATCATCACTGTGCAGTGAGATGAACGCTCTTGCTGGGCCAGTATCAGGTAAACATGCCCCAGATCTGTGCCAGACCTTCATGCCAAGCACCGTTCATCAGCATTCAGAACTGGGATCCCAGTAGGGTAAGACCTCTGCACAGAAGCAAGCACTTATTGTGGGGACACGGAGGGGAAAGGCAGATGTGATAATCTCAGCTTGATTACAGACAGGTCGCTGGACTTTTACACCCTCCTGCTAGACCCAGCCAGCATCCTGGCTTAGAGGGTGACACCCCTACTGAGATTGTCTGAGCTGAGAGAAATCAGCCATTGCGTGATGCAGCCTTTCTAGATTAAAACTACCTCCACAGATCTCTTTTAGGCTGTGGGAAATGCTAAAGATCTTCCCTGAAGTCCTATAAAGAATTCAAAACGCACTTTTTTTCCTGCAAAGGATTTACTCGAAGGGCATTCAGAATTCCAGTTCTTTAATACTTACAGCAGGGGGACAGGCTTCCATGTCTGTAGCTCCATCACCAATCATAACTATTTTCTTAAAGTGAAACTGTTCCTTCAGGTGAGCAATAACCTTTCCTTTCCCTCC